GGGTAATTACATTATGTGTAGCCACAAAAGCCAATTTGGAAATAGTTCCAATGTTTATTCTGGGCAGAGTGTACCTTTGATGTCTTCTCACCTGAACGTGGGACTAAGATAAATGTTCTCTGAAACATGCCACCTTGTCTTTGAAAATGAGCACACTGTTGCCATGTTAYTGCCTTTCTGTTGACATTTGGACAGCATCTCATGTCACTCTGAAACAGCCCAAGACCATGGAAGGACAGTGGCAGGCTTCAGAGCTGCAGGACTCATTTCTTTCCTTCTGTAGCTCTTTTGCAGCCTGACCGACAACCCTGTGCCAAAGCCCTGTCCACCCAAGTGCAGGGCTTTGGAAGGGCCTGGCAATGCTGGTCTGTCAAAATTTTTCTTTGGGAAGCACTTTAACTAGTGTTTGGGGCTGCTGAGTCCCTAGTGATGTCTCATCTCTGTGACGAAAGTCTCAAACACTCCTCTCATTTTCTTTTTTTCCTGTCCATAAGAAAATAAAATCACCTGTAAGTAAAATAATACAGCAAATCATCAGAAGACATAATAATCATATGAGAAGTTCCCCAGAAACAACAACAAAAAAATAATGTTAAAAAACAGTACGGCATATGCAGAAGCGGCCTTAATACAAAGGGTGAATGCAACAGTTTGTCCCTTTGGTGTAGAAAGATACAGACACTGAGAAGCCATGGCAGTTTGCTTTGTCCACAAAACCACATGCTGAATGTTTGGCTTCCAAATGCACAGCCTTTGGATTTGCAAAAGCAGAGCCCCCAGAGCCACAAGCTGAGCTGCTCCTGCTGCAGGAGGCAGGTAGTCTKGGAAAGGCTAACGCCTTCCTGATGATTCTGGAGGCATCGGCTGTCATGTGGAGCAGGAGGCAGGCCAGGCCTTGGCCAGCATGCAGGGCAGACTTCCCAGCGGGGCCGGCTGCTGTGCATACGCCTGGGCTGCAGACCAYGATGCACTGAGACCACCAAGAAGGGACCTGGTGAAAGGAGTGTGGGCTTTTATCTTCCTCTTTCTCCTCTTCCTTAGACCTCCTGCCACCGAGTTGAAGTTTTCAAGCTAACTCATCTGCATACAAATCTTCTTGGAGCCATCAGGAAATAAGCCCCAGTTTGAAAAAATAATCTGTTTTTCCAATCTCAACATTTTCAGTTCTGCAAACCAAAGGATTTTTTTTTTTTTTTTGCAAAGGTCTGGTACATTCGCAGCCCCAACCTAGGACCAGGTACCCCCCCCCCAAAAGGGTGGTGGGTTACATACAGGTATATACATTTTTTTTTTCTTTTGGAAACAAACTGAACAGTGTTTGGTCTGGAATGTGTTTAAGGAAAAGGTAAACTTTGTGGAGTGTGAGGAGACAGAACAGGAAGTAGTACTGTTTCAGTAGAACATGCAAAGGGGTCGTGCACTGCCTGAATCAGAGGACCATCACTGCGTTTGCCAGGAGTAAGTGTGCAAACCTGGGAAGGAGTACATTTCTGTTTATGGAAATGGGAGGAGCTGCCCTTTGCTGGCCCTTGACTTTCTTTCTCACATCTAGCAGTGCATCTATGGTGGTCATGGGAAGGAAGGGGTGTTGGGGGCTCAAGCAGAGGCACTAGCCCCAGGTCTTATGTCTTTGGCTCTGGAGCAATGGATCCAGTGTGGCTTCCCCAGTATGGAGAATCTATTCCAGCCATGGCCCTCTGGATCCAAGGGGCCATGGGTCCAAAGCTCTAAAATACCAAGTCCATCTTCCCTGGGATATGGCCTTTTCTTTCTGTTTCCACAAGTGGAGGGAAGTCCCCTCTCCCACTCATCATTCACCCAGGCCATGCTGGGCACCAAGGTGGACAGGTGGACAGCATATCAGTCCTGGGTAAACCAAGTCAAGGCTCACTATGTGGACTGTGTTCATCAGAATGCTGATGTTTTCTAAGAGCCAAACCTTTTTGCCTATTTGGCTACAGCCATCTTCTTTTGCCCCAGGCCTGACGGCCAAGCTCCCTGGACACTACCTTAAGAGCTAGCTRGAGAGTGGCACCCTCTCAAAGTCACGAGCTGCTCCATGCTTTTGAGGTGAGATTTTTAAAGAAGTGACCAGAATCAAGGTCAAGAACACTACATCACACCTGCTCTGTTATTTTATATWTTTTTTTTGACATGCTTTCAGCATAGTTCTTTTCTTTCCAAAGGAGACATGAAGGGCGATATTGTCTTTTCTAGTTCCCATGGAGGCAGGAGCAGCACWCACTGGTTATTGCCAATCCCATAAGCAGCCCTGGGGGTTCTGTCTCTCTAGCTGGGCAGCACCCTCTTTCCTCTGGGGTTTTGTGGTGAAGTGCACTTCACCTAGGTATCCCTGCCCCTCCTAGACTCAACTACCTTGACCTCCCCAATCTGGGACTCCAGAGCATACTGTCCCTGCTGGAAAGCAAGGCTCTGCAGAGCAGGGAGCTACCAAGACTCTAGAGGWACCTTGGTGAAGAGTGACAAGCTGATAAGCCTGTGGGACCCGAGTGTGGTGCCCACTCAATTCCAGATGAATGCCAGCTGCTCTTAATRCCTCATTTATGAAATGAAGATCAGGGGGTCAAGAGAGACAGGCAGTGAAGGGAAGACCATCAAGGACACATTCAAAACTGAATATCCACGTGAGGGGAAAGAAATTCATTTGCACTGAGAAGGTGAAAGACCAAATGGGGGACTTGGGGGGTCAAGAAAGAAGCCAGAAATAGGGCCTGTGTGTCTACCCATGGCTCAGCTGAGCATTCTGGGTGAGATATGAAATGCTCAGTTAATCCTAGTGGAACTAACATCAGTGGGGAGCTCAGGGCTTTGCCATTCCATTTCTCAGGCTGTAAGCAAAGGTCTACTCTGCATCCTCTTCTTRTTTCCTCACAAAACATAAATAATGCCAAGTAGTTGGAAGAGAACCTTTGTCCTTTTATACCAAGGGCTCTCTCAAAAGGGCAGACTCTTCCATATGGTATTTACTTCCTCCTCTTTCTAAAACAATGAAAAATATCCCAAGTCCAGTGGCATCAAGACAGTGATGCTTCCTGATGTCATGTTCAGCAGAATCTACTACTGGGCCCAAACCATTCTCCATCTTGCAGTGTTATTGGGACCTGACACTCCAAGAGCCAAGAACTGATCCAGACAGCTCAGAAGGTACCTGCACAGGCTCACCCTTCACCTGTTCTGCATTTTTCAGGTACAAGATACTTTTAAATAACTGTATATAACATGCACCTCATATATCAGCTCCAGAAATGATTTTCATCACCAATAATAGAACCTGGTTTCAAATGTTGCTTTCTAAACACAAATGGCTGTGTGTAGCACACAGTAAAAAAAAAAAAAAAGCTGATAATTACTCTATGCACATTACAGGTACCAAACTCAGGATGATTATTGATGCGCAATAACCTTCTATTTACTTTTTTCTTATACTGTATGAACCTGAATGTTTCTGTGACACTTATTGGTAAGCAACATCCTAATCAACCTCCTAGAGAGATTCCTTAGTTTTCTCAAGAACTATTATAATACTTATGTCCTTGTCTTTCTGATGGGGAGAGGTTGATGCTTTTCCAGTTTACATGACACTTGCTTTTCAACTGGGCCTGCTCTCATTTTATAGACTTTTCTAGGCTTTTTGCACAGTTTGAAGAGGGTGAGCTTAAATTTTCACCCTGTTCACTTGTGAGGCAGATGCTAAGCAGGATTCCTGCCAAGCAGTGAGTGCATGTGACACATGTAGAACAGGTAGACCAGCTGCCCCTCGTTCCATTTGCTCACTTATATCCTGCACTAATGTCCTTAGGGAGACAGGATGGGGCTGCTGAGCCTGATAACATTGTGTGTGTGTGTGTGTGTGTGTGTGTGTGTGTGTGTGTGTTGGGAGGGCTGTGCAGCACTAAAAGTAGGCAAAAGTGTAGACGTGACAAAGATGGTTTGCCCAACAGGACCTTCTATGACTGGCCATTCACAGGGGAGGGGTGTGAGGCCATCAGCCGGGATGGCCACTGGACCATCAGGTGGTCCTACTGACACCCTCCGTGGGCTCAAGGATGACTGTGCAGAACTGAGCCAGGGGCATTAGATGGGCACAAAGGCAGAGGGAGGCTTTGGAGCCATCTGCCTGGGTCTACAGGGAGCCTCCTGGGAAAGTGTGCCCTGTGTTGCACACTGCTCACTCTCCTGCCCACCTATCCTCTATGTGGGTGCACAATGTGGCCTAATATCCCTGGACATTCCTGGTTTTAACACTAAGAATTCCACATCCTGGGAAATCCTTCGGTATCAGGGCAACTGAGGCATTTTTTGATTTCCGGTTCCGCTGAGGAGAGGGATGCCTTCACACACATGCAGGGCCTAGCTGAAGTCATCTCTGAACGTTTCCATGGGTGGCCAGTGTCCTGCTCACTTGGTAGTCACCTCTTCTTATCACCCCAGATAAATGGTTCCTTCTTCAGGACTGTTATCCTCCCCTCTCTTAGATAACATTCATAAACCAACAGGGTAAAAATATGGAGAAGCAACTTGTGAGTGTTGGAGGCCATTTTAAGTATAAGATTAGAAATGCATCTTTAAAAAACAAAGAGAGATTAATTTTAAAACTGCATAGCTGAGATCAGAGTTTCGTCGGTTATCCCTCATGAGAAAAGAGGGTGCACATGGGTTCACTTTAAACAACACAGCAGCTTGCCCTTTGGTAAGGGAGGCTCCTAAATCTTGGCATCGTGGACATCTCATTGACTGGTAAAGTCAGCCTGGGAAGCTGAGCCCGGGTCTCCTGGGAGCAGGTGTCTTGGTTTCTGCTGTGGTTGGTGTGGGTTTTGCTGGAGAAGCTGCGAGGAAAAGTTTTCCGCAGGCTCCTCCCCAACCCCCCAGAACTGCCTCTCCAGAGAAAGAGAAGTAAAGTGCACTCTTAGCCTTGGAGACAGATTCTCGATCCTCTTATTAGAATTTTTTAAAAATACCTTGAAATTCTTCCCGGAGGGGGAAAAAAAAATCTCTTAAAGGTTAACATAAAATTACTATTGAAGAGCAAACGATAGAGGTCATGTAACTGAGAGAGATAGAGCAAGAACACATACTTCTTAAAAGGAAAACAAAATCCTAATGCACAATATTTACTAATATTTAAATAATCCAGTTGAAACCATATTTTTTCCATGAAAAAACACACCCTAGACGGTTGCCTACGCTGCAGAGAATGGAAGTGGCGGAGTTGGGGGAGAGGAAGAAGAAGGTCCATTCTGTTAGAGCTTTGCAAGATTCATATATACAGCACCAGGTCCTATTAATTCAGCTCCCCTTGAGTCAGTAGAGTTTGTGAGAAATGAACACTTCAGAATTGCAGTATAAAATATGGCCATAAAAAAACTTGTGTCTTCCAGTCCTATGCAGGAAGGTGCACCAGGTAGGGCSGGATCTTGGTGGCCCAGGGCTCCCCTTCCCTGGCCCCGCCCCCTGGTTCCCACCTCCAGAGCCGGTCACTTGCTTCCAGTGTGCACTGTCGTCACAGTGGTGGGCCTGGGTCTCCGCTYGGCTCCAACTCCTGAGACCCCTGACGAAGAGGAAATGAAACTACAGAGCGTGGAAGGTTCCAGACCTGCAGYGGAACAGCAGACGCTTGGGTTCAGAGATTCAGAAGAAAATTTGCAGCCCTTTCCCACCACAAGAGTCAGATGGGTTGGGTCTGTGGGGGACCAAACATTTGCCCACCCACGTGACTCTACAGGGTTTTTTCAGTGCTGGGGGTTGAACCCAGGTCCTTATGCATGCCAGGTATGCACTCAACCACTGAGCTACATTGCTAGCCCCAGACTCTCCATTTTTACCTCCCCATAGGAAACCTTTGCAGTATGTTCAAAATGCTTTATGCATAGACCCAACTCKCCTCTCCTCTTTTTTTTCATTATAATTATAAATGCTTTGCATTTATCTTAGCCACCATGATGAGTAGGCCCATTTACTGAGTGAGCACTTACTATGTACTAGGCTTTGGCTGGGTGTGGAACATATACTGTCATTGTAAGCATTGTTCAAATCTTACTACAGATCCATTAATTAGGCATTTTAAGAATGAAGAGAGAATCGGATATCCTCTTTTGGCCTCTAGTTGGTATGTTGTCTATACTCTGGGCTAAGAAACATTTGGCATTGTGAGCATCTCATTGATTGGTCAATGTTTACCTTTTCTTGTGAGAAATCAGCAGCCCTTTGACCTAGAAAAATTCCTCCAGGCTGCACTCAAGCCCTCCACAGGCCCTGCTGTGCGGGCTGCATTAGCTGCTGCAGTGGTGCATGTCCCCAGAGAGCTTTGGACACTCAGACACAGGGAGATCCATACAATTAATTAATAAGATGAGCTTTGCCGTCAATGCCTGCACATGATTCTTTAAAGAAAAAACCAACTGTGGGTTCCCTCTGGTCAGAGTGGGGGAAAGATCTCTGTTGACACATGAAGTTGGTCCACAGGTGTATGCGACTGTGTCAAGGAAGCTCATGGATACATCCTGGGAAGAGTGTGTGTGTGTGTGTGTGTGTGTGTGTGTGTGTGTGTGTAGGGGGGTGAAGTTCTGAATGAAATGGGATGATCTTTAGTGGAAGGAGACCCTTTTCTGAGCCAAATGGGGAAGAGTGTGATGCTCAAGGTGGAGCCAAGCTGAAGGGCTGCTCAGTGGTTAGGGAGATGAGAATCAATGGGGACAATCAAGGCAACTGTCCAAAGCAGAGAGGAGCCACTGATGGCCTAGCATGAGACAGAGAGGACAGTAAAGAGAGGGCAGTGGAAGGGGGACTAAGATCTTGAGGATGTCAATACTAAGTAAAGATAAGGGATGAAGAAAAACTATTACTAATTTTTTTATTGCAAAGTCAATGTACTTCCAATAAATGAGCTTCAATTATCATCATCCTCACCAAAAATAAATAAATAAATAAATAAATAAAAATAAAAGTCAGTGAGAACAACCATCAGAGTCCCTACCACTCTCTCCTCCATCCACAGAATGACTGCACAATGAGAAGCAAATTGGAGGGGAAGGAGCTAGACCACGAAGTATCTGGGTCTCACCGAGACAGGCCCAGCTGCATGGCCTTGGAGCCACAGATGGATTTCTCATCTATAAACGGCAATAATAGTACCTGGCGTGTGTGTGAGTATTAAATGGCTCAATTAAAAAAATAAAGTCYGAGGGTGGTTGGGAGCATTAAGTGGGATAAAGTATGGGAGGTGCCTGGYAGACAGAAGGCACTGGGCAGGACGGCTCCCTCCTCTCCGCCCCAGGYTTGTCTCAAATGCCCGCTAAAGAATTCTGGTTTTGCTACATACGCACAATCTTTTTGGCTGGCCAGACTGAGGCTGCTGGAGACACCTGCATTCGAGCTGTCCAGGCTGCTGCCRAGATGTAGTCTTCTCATATGCCTCACGACAGCTGTGGCATTAAATGCTTGCTGAAATTCAAGACAGGAAAACACCAGAAAAAAATATTCCAGATAGTTAGAAAAAGACCCTGATGGCTTCCTTTTAAGCAACTGCTTACTCCAAACGTTGCAAACTTCTCAGATCATTCTCAGGACACTTCAGAAAGAAAACTTCTATTGTCCCTTCTTCCAAAAATGTGCAAAGTTATTTTAACACCCCCCCCCCGTCTCCAAATAAAATAAATAAATTTTGGAGATACAAGAAAATAGTTTTCTTCTGACCACATAAATATAGAGAACAAATAAATGTAAGACAATTCTTTCCACAATTTAAGAGAAGAGATTTTTAGAATGAAAGGCATATGAGAATGTAATATATTAAAATGTGATGCTTTGGAATAGTATTTGTTTTCCTATAATTGGTATTTTTGTCCCAATTTATGGCATTTCCTCTGAATAAAATAGGGCAGTGGAATTAATTGTGTTTCTATAATAGTCACTCACTGTTGGCTTTCAAGGCAAGACAGCCAGCCCTTAATTACCCATGTTGTTTAAAACATAGTTTAGGTCAAAAATCCATGATCACAAAACCCCTGTGGTTTATTTTCTATATTTTTGAATTTTGTCTTACTTAATTGTTATTGGTGCATTATAATCAAACAGCCTAGTGGGATTCGTCATTTTCTCTTTGTACATGCATATAACATCATTTGGTCAATTTCATTCCCAAGTACCTTCTATGGGCTTAAATCCATTGCATTTTTATCTGRAAATATTGGTGAAGTCAACTCAGATTTCCTGTTTTCTTTCCCCCTCCGAATCACTTTAGCAAAAGCTGACTCTTCAAAGTTGCAGCAAAGTGAAGAGAGATGAAGGCGGTTATATTGCTTACGAAAGAGCAAATGAGTAAGAGCMGGCAGGACTGCTATCTTTGAATCTCAGAGGGGAAGGGTTTCATCACACATGGTGTCCCTCTTACACTGTGGTCCTCCCTCCAGGTCTTGATTATTATCAGTTAAAAATGAACACAATTAGCTAGATGAGGTTCTGGGAATTTCCCTCCAATTAGGGTGACAGTGACCTTTAGAAGTAATACACACTCAAATGAAAGAGCAAGATTCACAAGAGCGGTTAAAGTCACTGTGAACTAAAAAAAAAAAAAAAAAAAAAAAAAAAAAATGCTCAGGACTTACTCTCCATTTGCTTTTGGCAAAGTTCTTCCGGATCTGGGCACTGACGGACTCATGGATATTTTTGTTGAGGGCAGTGTCACCAGCAATCCTGAAATAGAGGCAAAGATATTCCTTCAAAAAGGGCAAATGGGTCCCCAGTTGTTTCCCAGAGACCCTCCTCCTGTCCTTAGGGAAACACAGCCTCGTGAGAGGGTGACTTCTCTCACCCTGGGACTCATCCCTCAACTCACACACGCCACCACCATCACCCCAAGTCCCAGCCCACTTTCTGTACTCTGCACCTTCCCCTGGATCTGCAGACACTCTCCTCAGAGCCTTGCTACCAGCCTTCTGTTTTTCCCTCTTTTGCCCTGAATTCACTCCAGCCTGTTCCTTTTCTGGGACCCCCCTTCCTCCATTCCAGCTCTTAACCTGCAAATCTCTGAGCTCACACRTGTCTTCTGACTGCTCTGACCACCAGAACCTCCCCGGGGCCTGCTTCTAGCTTCCTTGCAGCCAAGGTCCTTACTTTCTGCCCTCCTCAGGGCCTCTCCTCCAAGGACCCTGCGGGTGTGCTCACCTCCCTCTTGGCTCCATCTCAGCTGAGCTAAGCTCTGTGGGGACATTCCATCCATCTGCCCCCAACCCTGTTCTCCTACCTTCTCCACCTCAACTCAGTCCTGATTAGTGCATCCTCTATACCTATACTTTCTAGAAAGTTCCAAGAACTTAGAGGATCATGTCCACTCTGTATTCAACTGGGTCCTTAATGGTCCTGGGCAATCTTTATTATGGTTTTAGTTTATTCCCAAGACTTTTCTATTAGTGGGTGTGCTCTTCTACTCCATTCTCTCTCTCTGTCTCTCTCTCTGTCTCTCTCTCTGTCTCTCTCTCTCTCTCTCTCTCTCTCTCTCTTTCTCTCTCTCGTCTTGCATCTCCCACTTCTTCCTCATCTTACAATTGCCAATCTTAGGACCTGGGGGGTCACTCACAGCCATTCTTCTCTCCCCAACACCCTTCTTGATCACGACATCACCCCTTACATCTGACCCCTTGGCCTGSCCCTCTGATCAGAGGAAGCTGTAGTCTTCTCTTAGTCTTTCCTGGGCTCTGATCCTTCCACCTTTTCCAGTTTAGTACCAAACAATATGGTTTTAGATTGGCATCTGATGCCTAGAGTTTATGGAATCTTGGAAAAGTCAAGGGGCAGGTGCCAGAGTTGTGGATCACTCTCACTGGCCAGAAGGGAACTGGTAYAGGAGAAAACCTTGTACCACCCAGACCCAGTCTGCCCTGGCCATGGAACATTCCAGATATCACACACTATTATTCTCAACTGCTTCGGGAAAGGAAAAAAAGAAGCTCAGGGCTTATTCAGGSAAGAAATCATCCCACTAAACCTTTCTTTCCCTTCAGAATTGCAAACTTGGTCAAGGTCCTAGACACTGAGTCTATACCAGKTTGGTCCACATTTAGAATCCAGTCTATGATGGTCCTGGGCAATCTTTATTATGGTTTTAGTTTATTCTCAAGACCTTTCTTTTTTTTTTTCATTTTTTAAAGAGAGAGAGAGAGAGAGAGAGAGAGAGAGAGAGAGAGAGAGAATTTTTTAATATTTATTTTTTAGTTTTTCAGCGGACACAACATCTTTGTTTGTATGTGGTGCTGACGATCGAACCCGGGCAGCACACATGCCAGGCGAAATGTTAAACTCGCTACCACTTGAGTCACATCCCCAGCCCTATTCCCAAGACTTTTCTATTAGTGGGTGTGATCTTGGAAAAGTCCCAGCTGACAGTATCTTTCCCCCAAATATATTYCCCTCTTCTCCCAGTAGGGATAAAGACACACATCCAAGAGGAGGCTCAGAGTGAGCCACATTTTCATTTGCAWCAATTGCCAATTGCCCCCTTCCCCAGACACATGTGGGAGAGACAGAAATAGCATATATGACTAGACAAATCCAAAATCAGAGGAGCAAACAGGTAGGGGAGCTGTAGGCCTTTTTATTGTTTTCTCACGGGAATGCTTCTTCCTGGACCATTTTAAAAAGCTAATCCTCAGAAAAGTATACCAATTCCAATATGTTGGTGGCCAAGTCTTTCTTGGAAATAACTGGGCCAAAGTGGTAGGAAGTGTGGAATTCCTCAGATTGAACGCTGCTTCGGGCCAGAGTCAGACTCCAAACCAAACAGGCTGGGGAGCAGGGGATGTCAGAGAGTCTGGCCCTGGGGTTCCACCTGCCTCTTGGCAGTGTGGTCTCCTATACTTTGGGCCTGGGGCCTGCTGCCTGTGCTGTGCTTCCCACACCTTCTCTGTGGGTTATCCTGGGCCCAGATGTAAGGAAAAATGCAACTCTGAGTTATTTTAGGAATGTTTCATGTTCACTTCCCACAGYCCTGGGCTCTGCTACAGCTGGGTGAGAGTCATGCTGGGCAGCAAGTGGCCCAGAGCCTCCTGCCAGGCAGTCATCAAGGGTACAGTCACCTTGGGCCACAAGCACACAGCACCATCCTCAAATGCACACCATAATGAAATGGTTGCTACCGCTCACGGTAAGCTAGGAAGGTGACCCTAACGACGTGGCCACCCTGACGCTCAGGGTGAAGCTCACCCTAGCTTCAGCCCTATTCATCAACAGCGCTGGAAGAGTGGGATCTTAAAAATGAAGGGGTCAGTGGTCTCCCAGATTGTCTAGGAATTGACGAATGTTTCTGAAACAGAAGAATTCCTGTAGAAATCTGTAAGCACATACCAATTTGGAAAGCTATGGGTAAACATCTYGTTCACGTCTCTTGCTCCCTGGCTTTGTCCTCTACATCACCAGTGTAGATGACCTTTACAAATCAYACCTTTTGTGGCCTGTCTCACTAGCCCCTGCACTCCCAGAGCATACACATGCCCTCTCCTTGCCCTTRGTGCTTTGGGTTTTTTAGGTGGTCGACTCTCCCTCCGTGGCCTTGGTTCTGTTTCTCTAGCCACTTGCTCAATGTAGGCCTGATGCTATTCCAAACAGTGCTTTGCTGGATTCTTGGGCTGCTTCCCAATTCCTATGGCCAATCAGTGCTGGAGCCCTGAGGAGGGGAGGGGGTCTCTGTCAATAATCAGGAGTGTGATGGTTAATTTTATGTGTTACCTTGGCTAGAACATGGTACCCAGATATCTGGCTAAATGCTAGTCTGGATGTTGCCGTGAAAGTATTTTTTAGATGAGTTTAACATTTCAATCAGTAGGCTTTGAGTAAAAACTATTTTTATGGGTGGGCCTCATCTCATCAATGGAAGRCTTTGAAGAAAAAAAGAGGAAGAGGGAATTCTGCCTCTGGACTGTTTTCAGAGTTGAGCTGCAACGTCAGATCTTGCCTGGATTTCCAATCTGCTAGCCTGCCCTTCCCGTTTATCTGACCCCACAGTCACATGAGCCAATGCCTTAACTCCCTAACATCAATCAATCTTCTATGCATTCATTRTTTTAGTTCACTTGTCAATGAAACTGGAGACAGGTGTTCAGAACAATCCGACCTGGATAAACGATCTCTGGTCAGATGGCAGGGTGCTGCCTTATAACGGGGATGGGTTCCCATGCTGCCACTCGTCTTTCCCTACTCTTGGACCATCAGTCAGCACCTCCTGGTTCCTGAACCTCAGTGAGGGGCTGGGAARCATCTGCCTTCTCCAAGGAGGGCTTTGCAAAGAGCCTTCTTCTGAAAAGAGACTGGTCTGTTATGAGGCTATGGGAAGGCATCTGTGGCTCCAAGCCCTCGCCTAGTCCTGGGTGGCTTGGAGTAAGTAGGAAAAACAGGGTGGAATACTGAATGATGGTATGAAGGCTCTGGTATGATGGTATGTTGGCTGTGTTGTGGTCACAGCTTCTGGAACAGTGGTGTTGATAACGCTGCTCTGCTGACGTCCTTATTTCAACAAATCTGCATGACCTACTGAATCCTCTGCCTGGCCAATTTTACCTAACAGAGACAAGTGTACCATAAATGCAGGCAAGAGGGGGGTTTTGGTGATGATGCTTGTATCTGATGCATTTGATGTTACTGTTTTCCGTGTCTGACTTCCTGGGAAGTCAATCAACAATAAAAATACTAAGAGCCCTTGGGGGAAAACCCCTCTGAATMGGGTGGCATTCAAGAGACTGCCCTCAGGCTGGCACATCTGCCATGAGACACAGGCTGACAACTCTGAGGCCTTCACCCCTGGCTTGACCTCTCTCCTGAGCTCCACACTCCAGCAGCGCACCTGCTACAGTCCAGCACATGCAAAGCCCAGCTCATCTCTCCACCTAAGCCCTTCTCTCCCAGGCCTTAAGATGGAAACTTGGGCATAATCCTGGGCTCTCCCCATGCTCCGCCAACACCTGGGGCCTTTCCAGCTCTGACTGGAGTGGACAGTCCCCTCCATCCTTGTCATGCTCCCGTGGGAAGGCCACCTCCCCATCCTGGCCTGCACCTTCCTACCCTGCTCCACACYTATCTACCACCCCACCTTTATCCTGCATCTGGAGGGGGCTTTCAAAAATCAAACCTGACTTCCCTGCTTAAAACCCATCTGGGCCCCATGGCCCAAAGGGGAAAGTMCAAATTCCTTAGGTCGATAATAAAACAGTGGTAAGTCACATATATTAGGTGTCAGATTTGGTTTCTTTGTCACATGCATTATCTCATTTAACCCCTTGAAAAGTCCCCCAGGGGGCTGGGGATGTGGCTCAAGCGGTAGTGCGCTCGCCTGGCATGCGTGCGGCCCGGGTTCRATMCTCAGCACMACATACAAACAAAGATGTTGTGTCCGCCAAAAACTAAAAAATAAATATTAAAAAAAAAACTCTCTCTCTCTCTCTCTCTCTCTCTCTCTCTCTCTCTCTCTCTGTCTCTCTCACTCTCTCTTTAAAAAAAATCCCCCCAGGATATGTATATTGTTACTTATGATCTGGATCCTATAGAGGAGACCAAAAGCCAGGCCAGACACCTGCTAGTTCCAGTCCTTCTTTCTAGTCTCATTTTCTACTTGTTGCCTCTGTCCACTCGGACTCCGGAATACCAGGTGCTGTTGGCACTGTGAGCAGATGCATGGTGTTTGGTCCCCATTCTGTGGCCCAGGTTTCTGGTCCTGCTTGGAGCTCCCTTCTCTCTGCTGGTCAGGTGGAAACCTCCAGGAGCAGGGCTGGGCTCACCTGCCTCTGTCCCAGCCCCGTCAGAAAGCTTTTGTTTTGATTTTCAAAAATGCTCAGTAAACTGGACATGGTGGAGCATGCCTGTAATYGGGAGGCTGAGGCAGGAGGATCATGAGTTCAGAGCCAGCCTTAGCAACTTAGTAAGACCCTGAGCAACTCAGAGAGACCCTGTCTCTAAATAAAATATAAAAAGGGCTGTGGATGTGGCTCAGATGTTAAGCACTCCTGGGTTCAATCCCAGGTACCAAAAAAAAAAAAAAAAAAAGAGTGAGGAAGGAGAGACCAGGTTTGCACTGGCCATCTTCCCGCCTTCTAGAGAGTGAGGCTGGCTGAGAGAACAGGCGCTAGGAGGCAAACAATTTCCCTTTCTTCCTCAATAACTGCAAAGTCTCACAGCTTTAAAGGCCCACTGTGTATGAAATGGGAAARATCTTTATTATATATATATTATCACATACTTGCAACTACTGTCTCTGGTGACTTTATTTTAATTTTTTTAATAGATGAACACGATATCCTTATTATTTATTTATATGTGGTGCTGAGGATCGGACCCAGGGCTTCACATGTCCTAAGCAAGCGCTCTACCACTGAGCCACAACCCCTGTCCCTCAGGTGACATGTTAAGAAACATCCAGACACACAGAGGAAACTCTCTGCCTTTGAAGAACACCCCTCCCCCACCTTCCTTTCTTCCTCTTCTCCCTTGAAGTGAGGCAGTTCTGGCTGGAATCCTGCCTCTGACATTAGTTAGCTGTGCATTTTGGGTTAAATTATCTTTCTATTTCCTTAGTTCTGAAAAGAAGATAAAACCTAAACTGCAGGGTTATTATGAAGAGAGAAAGTGACACTGTGTTCCAGCACAGTGCCTAGAACAGGAGACTCAATAAGCAGCTGGTGTTATGAATTAGAGCGCTGTGACACTCGRTCAGGACAGTGCCTTTCTGCAGGTCCCCAGTGGAAGGCTCACAGCATAGGGAACTCTGCAGGCGATGCTTCAGAGGATGGTGGGATACCAGGGCAGTGTCCTACAGTGCTCCTTAGGGGGACTCCCTCCTGAACTCAGCTCTTTCTCCAGGTATTATCCTCTCTTCTCCTTTTCCTGCAGTGCTGGGGACAGAGCTCAGGGGTTCATGCTGCCAGGCAAAGTGCTCTACCACCGAGTGACACTCTTGAKCCCCTAGTTTCATTACAGTGGGTGCTATAGTTTGAGTCTTAAATGTCCCCGAGAACTCATGTGATGAATGCTTGTTCCCCAGAGTGGCACTATTGGCAGGTGGTGGCACCTTTTAAGAGGTGGGGCCTTTTGGAGGTCTTAGGTCATTGGGGTTGTGCCCTCAAAGAGATTCTCATTCTCTTGTTTCCTGGCCACCATGAGGTGAGCGTCTTCCTCTACCATGCGCTCTCACCGTGATGTGCTGCCCCCACCACAGACAAGGCTACTGACTAGGGACTGAAAGCTAAAACAAACCTTTCCTCTTTTTAAGTTGACTGCCTCACATATTTGTTACAGTAACAGAAAGTTGACTAACACATTGAATATTTTACTACTCTTAGAATTTGTTTCAAAATGGATGCCCACAGGGCTTTCATAAAAAAGAGCTACAATTAACTAACATTTGCTCTGCACAGGACATTGTAATAATCCTTTACATGTATTACTTCCATTATTTATTATGTCAAATGTATACATTTGGGAATGCTATGCTCATTTAATAATGAGAAAATTGAGGCTCAGAAAAGTCAAGTATAGACTCGTGTTCACAGATAGTCAACAGCGAAGCTGGGTTCTAACTTAGAGGAGCACAAACATAAGGCAGCCCCAACTGCTCTGCTGAAAATGTGCAGAACTCCATGGAGCATCAAGTAGCCTCTCTAGAATGAAACAAACAAACTAACCAACCCTAATTGGAAAACCATCTGAAAAGGAAAACACATACAACTTCAATCCGTTTAACTACTAATAAACTCAAGGAATGGAACTCCAATCCTAACACCTCCCTGGACGATTGCCTTCAATAAAAATGATCCTCAGCAACTTTCTGTAAACTGAAGAGCTGCAACTATCTTTTGCACTGTTGATTTCTCATGAGTGCATTCAGAAGATTGTGTCCGGTGGACACAAAAGGGTTCAAATGTGAGCTTGGGCAGAGGAAGGGCCCTGGCCAGGATGAAATGAAACGAACACTTGGGTGGATCTCCTAAATGAGGGCCAGCAGGAAGTTTTCCCTGGGAGCACACGACAGACAACATGGTCTTCACAGTGGGGCGGGGTGGGTTCTCACCATGGGTGCCGAGCTGCCTGCTCACACGTGTATCTTTTATTTGGATCTTTCTCCATCAGATTCCGAATGAAGTCTTTTGCTGTTCAAAAGGAAGGTACAATAAGGCATTAGTTTGTGGTGTGACACAGGACAACAGGATGCCCCCACATATTCAGGAATATCATAGGTAGCATAGGATACCCAAGACCAGCCCTTCATGGACCCTGCTATACCTCAGAAACAAAAGGTACCAACCCAGGCTTTGACTCCAAGGGTGACTTGGTGAATGAGGAGATAGCAAAGCCAGTCTGGGACCCTGACTTCTGTCTCCAGGTCCCTTGTCACTAGCTCATCTTTGGTTCGGAGAGGAGAGGCATTGACCAGAGGATCACACGCCTGTCTTCAGTTCACCACTGCCTCAGGGAGGTCCTCCCCATGGGCTGGACAATGCTGTCAGGTCCCGGGCCAGGTGTGGAGGGAAGCCAGTCCCTAGGGCCACCATCCACAGCCCACTCAGCCCATTAGGAAGCCGTGGACATGAAGCTGCCATACAACGAGGTGCTCCCTGGGGAAGGAGGGTGCTCGGGACCCAGGCCAGGAYCTTGGCCCAGAAGCAGGACACTGGGAACAAGAGGGCAGGGTCATAGAAATGAAGGATGACATGGTGTGACAGCCTGAAGCCTGTCATGCTGCAGGTGTGGGAGCACCCTGCCCACCAGACTGGGCCTTCTGGGGGAGGCTGTGCCCTCCTGGACTCAGAAGCACAATGTAGCCCGTGGGGCTCTTCTCTGCAGGCCTTGTAGATCTAGATTGTGGATCTGGGTGTCAGAAGATTGAGGAGGAAGGCAAGGTGTTAACAGTTAGGTGGAAATAACAACAAATAATAAAGTTCTCGACCGGATCAGCTGGTCAGAGTCTGTCCATGGTTCCATCTCATCCTCTGGAAGATGGCGGGTTACTCCTCCCTGGGGGAAACTGAGGCCTGCAGACACTTTGCCACTCTGCCCAGGTTTGGTTTGGGTTTGGCTCTTTTTCCCTCAGGAAAGATGGGGAACTTTGTTGGGGATATTTCTGTGTGGTACCACCACRGCTACAATGCAGGGGTGGGAGTGAGGACTGGGGTTTGAATCCAGCTCAGCTGCTTACTTGCTGTGTGATTCTGGTCCAGTTATTTTATCGTCTGGGGCTTCAGTTTGCCCATCTGCCCAATGGGGATAAAGCAATACCTACCTGATGGGTTATCCTGAGGACCCAGGGAGTGGACACACTAGTGTTCTACACACAGTTGGTGCTTGATAAATGTCAGACAATAATGTTTCACTCCCAGGGCATGGGGAGGGGAGGTGGAGGGTGAGGAAGTCCAGGCCCTTTGGCAGGGCTCAGGTTAGATGTCCCAAGCCTGTCTTCCATCCAAGCCKGCCTCCAAGTCAAGGCCAAATATATAGCTCATAAAGCTCCCTTGGAAGTGGTCAAGGACTAAAAGTTGATGTCCCCCAGAATTCATGTTGAAATCCTAATTCCCAAGATGATGGCCTTGGGAGGTGGGGGGGCCTTGGGGGACTGATTAGGTCATAAGGGTTGAGCTCTCAGGAAAGAGATTAGTGTCCTGGTCAGAGAGGCCTCAGAGAGCTCTCTACTTGCCTGTCCCCTATAAGGACAAAGCAAGAAGATGGTCTATGAACTGAGTAGCAGCCCTCGCCGACACGGGATGTGCCARCAACTTGATCCTGGACTTCCAGCCCCCTGAACTGTAAATGTCTGCGGTTTAATCCACCCAAGCTGTGGGTCGTTTTTGATCCAGCAACCCCCAACGGACCCAGACAAGAGCCCTGGGACCATTCTGGTTGAAGTGTCCCAGGGAGCAGCCTCGCAGGGCAGACCTACCAGAGTCGGAGATGTCATCCCAGTAGGGAGAGTCGAACTCGTATTCTGCCTTGAGGATCTGTTCAAAGAGCTTGGAGTCGTTTTCRTCATAAAAAGGAGGGTAGCCACAGAGCCTGGAAAACAAGACAGGGTAGGGTCTGAGGGTCTGAGGGTCTGTGCCTCTGCTGTGCCGCCTCTGCACTTCCCCTGGAAGGAAGAGCTGTGACCTACCCTGTCGAGGTCACCTGCGCTGTGCACGCTGTGAGGACCATCYGAGCAAAGGAGCCACGTGTTCTATGGGCACAGGTGGCCCCCAAGTAAAGTCACAATTCAGTAAGTAGCAGAGAGGATTAACCCCGGTGATCATCAGAGGTAAATACATATATTTAAACTCACATTAACTCTAYGGAATATTAACCAGAGACCCAGACACCCTAGAAGCCCTAGTGTTATTCATCTTACGTGGTCCCCAATAGATGATGAGTTGGTGGAAAGAATAAAGGAAATATTTTAGGTTTATTATACAATCTTGGGCCCCTCTAGGTTCATTTCATTTAAGAAATTGTCATAGGAAAAAAAGGAAATTTTGCCACTCTGAGTACCAGGTTGCCCTCAGTTGCCCTAACCCACCAGGTTTGCCCTACCATGCCCACATTGGGTATGGGGAAGGTTATAGTTTTGCCCATAAACATGCAATAAGTGTCAACAAGAGGTGACATGTTTGTGATGCTGCAGGATCAGCCACAGTACCATTTCAAAGTTGGCTTTTAGAAGGTTCGGTGAGGATGTTGGTGCAAGCAACTTATAGATCCAGATGGACCAAGGATCATGGAACAAAATAGCAGGAACAGAAATTTTGATTTAAATATACCAAATATAATTTTGACRCAAAATTGTGCCTTCCGGGGCTCGAGGAAGCTCACTGGGAGAGCACATGTTTAGCATACATGAGGTCCTAAGTCCTATGTTCTATCCCCAGTATAAAAAAAAAAAATTAGTTTAATTTTTCAAAAGCATGGTTTCTCCTTCCAGCCCTGTTCTCAGTCCCTTTACCTCCGGAAGGCCACAGATTCATTTCTGGGTACAAAATTTCCTTATCTGAAAAATGGAGGCTACCAGACTAGAAAATTCCTAATTCTTTTTGGTTTAAGCTACTGCGGCTCTTCTCCCAGTTTGTTCGATTGGCTAAAACAGATAAAGACCTAGAAAGGGTAGGAGGGAGGGAGGAGGGGATGGTGGGGCCTGGTCCTGGAAGGCCAGGTGCCAAGCTGGACAGCACATATCTGGCTTCTGGGGACAGAAGGTGGCAGCCACCTTGTTGTCCCTGTGCTAAGCCCTGGAATTCCACGCATAGCTCTAGRTTGTTCTAAACACAGCCACAACCTAGAGACCAGTTTAATGAGAACAAATTAGTGGGAACCAGAAGACTGCAGGTCTGTGGGGATCAAGCTGTCAGCACATGAGAAATGTATTGAGGTGAGACCAAGGCCCGGGACTACCTGTCTTCAGCTGCTCCCACCAGGAGAGGCGCCTGGCACCAGCCACTGCAGAGGGCATGAGTAGTGGCATTTTTCAAGGCTGAGAAACATTCTGCAGGCTGATAAGATTCAAAATCATTTATCCCCACTAGGCCATTTCAGAGGCTGAGTGCTTGGAAAATTTCATTTTTCAAGATTTGCTGCTTTTGGCGAAATGATCAACAGCCAGCACTTCGGAAACCACCAGGCACATACTTCATGCACAAGGAAACCCCAGGCTGCCTGGAGATGGATATGTAAATTTTTCCCATAATGAGGATTTGGGCTAAGTGAAATGTGCATATTAGGAAAAGCAGACAGARCAAATTGTTAGTTTTTCTTGGAAAAAAACTAAATTTCAGATATGTGAGGTTTTTGTTTATTAAAAACCGAGTATGTTTTACTTTATGATTTGGCTTTCTTTTCAAGGAAAAAAAAWYYTWAAAAAAAAAATCCCAAGAAAGATTTATTCTTCTGGTGCCAATTTCTTTTCATTTTAGCTCTTTTTTTTTCTTTTTTCTTTTATTGGCATAGAATACTGTGTTCACACGGGTGTACTGAGGACAGGKTAAAATGAAATGGATCTAGCTTGGAGCCCAAGTGAGTTAAAATTAAAGAAGATTTTAAAACAAAATTATTAGTAGTTTGTGTGGAGGAAAACCAAAAGAGCGCCCTCTTCTGTTCATATATGGAAAGGGGATCTGGAGCAGTCAAGGGGATGCTATTAGCACTTGTAACCACTAAGCCACATACATCTCCAGCCCTTTTTATTTTTATTTTGACACAGGGTCCCACTAAGCTACTTAGAGCCTTGCTAAATTGCTGAGGCTGGGCTCAAACTTGTGACCCTTCTGCCTCAGCCTCCTAATCCTCTGTTCTGTACTGGTGTTACTGAAGTGTGATTTACCTTTTCATATCAAACCTTTTAAATAATCCTTGATATATGACTCAAAGGTGATAAAGCCATTATCAGTTTTCCAGGCCAAAAAGTTTATGGTTCAGAGTAGCCCAATGATGGCTGTGCCTCAGAAAGGGACCCACCCTCACAGGACCCTCTCATGGTCCCCATTGTAGCCGTGGAACTATCATCCAGGAAGTACTCTCATACCTTCCAGATTTCCTGTTGCAACCTGTGGCAAGTGTGTGCAAACAGACTGCTAGTTCTAGTAGCCTCAGTTGATTCCTTTTGGTGGATTGAGAACTCCACCAAGATCAATACTATTTTACACCCACCTCTCCCCAGGAGCTAAATGTCCCAGACATCTCCATCGGCCCCTTTAGAGCCACCTGCCCTGTGCCCTGGAGGCAGTCTATATGGACAGGTGAACAAGGGCAGCACTCTCTCTCATTGGAGGGGACCAGTCCATGGGGACCACAGCAGAGATGGGGAAGAAGGGAGAAGATCAATGACAAGCCCCCTCTGTCCTGGCTCTCAGGCGGGTTTACCTTTGGACAGAAGGCTGTTCCTCTCCTGGGAGCAGACTCAACTGGATCCTATCTTGGATCCTGATAACAAATCCTTCCCTCCCATCCTTCCTTGGGGCCTAGCGGATTCGATCCCCTCACACCACACCTTTCTGTACAGTCCTGATACCATTCTCATTTCAATGGCYAAGGGACTAGCAATTTAGCAAAGCCAGGGCTCAAGCCCATGCCATCTACTCAAGATTTATGTCCTTAATTCCTATGTCGATTCATTGAAGGGAAGCCGACTTGAGAAGGGAAGCTTCTGCTCCAGTCTTGACTTTGAATTTTCTATGTGGGTCATTTGCTTTGCTCCCCCCCCCAACTCCTTCATCTGCAAGGAGGACCCTGTGATAATAGGATGCTACTTTTTGGGGCCTRTTTGCTAAGGTGCTTAGAGCTAGCTCCTTGTACACAAGACATTTCTTGGYTCTGGATCGGGGTAAAAGCTGTGCATGTTACCTGGGCTGTCCTGTCCCTGGCTTCGCCTAACTCTGGCATACCTTRGAAGACTAGCTGGTGTGTTTTGAGGAAGGCCTGACCTCTCTCTGCAGGTGGAGCAGGTGTGTCACAATGTGCTCTCACTGTAGTGCACAGAGCTCTGTGGTGCTACTTCCCACACTGTTCATGGCTTGACCTGTCCATGAACTCCTAAGGCAGGACCATGCCTTACCTTAGTATACAAATTCTCAGTGCCTAGGCCATCACCTGCCTGAAGCTGATGCTGGACAAATGTTTAGATGGCTGGACACATACTTGGAAAAGAGGTCCCTCCCTGGCTGCTGAGCCCCGGAGGCTGGGCTCTGAAGCAGAGACGAAGACCTGGGGTGCAGCAGGACTCCACTGCCCCAGCTCAGGGGGATCTCAATGTTSTCTCCTAACCTGACTCCTCACTACATGTTCCCCCTACCGGAGGTAGTGGAAACGCTAACATTCCATGTCATTCACAGACATTCCAGAAGAACCCAGTGTGCAGGCCCTCCTTTGAGGGCAGACTGGCCTGCCTCTGTGGAGAGGATGCAGTGTGGTTTGGATTCCCCAAAATGGCACTMCCGGACATGGACCTATTCCATACAGAAGAAGTTTTTCCATGGAGAAGGCTTTTAACCTAAATGAATGTGAACATCAGCAATGGCCCACTGTGGCTGATTCGGCAATGAACTGTTTTTCTTGGAAACTGAAATGCTATAATAGCATAAAAGCTCCTGTGGAGAGGCCCAGTGAGTTTACTATGGTCATTATCCTACATTAACTTATGTTCTTCTGCTGGCTTGTCTTTGGCCACGGTTCTGCCTCCCTGCAAAAAATGGACATGTGCTGAAAGGATGTGCAAGTAGGCCACCTCTCTGTCCCTTTATGTACCTTCATCTCTATCATTCACCTCAGCCTTGGGTTCTTGCCCATCTCTTGCCCCTCTTGAATTATGGGCTTAAGGTCCTGGTTTTCCTAACAGCTTTTGATATCAGAGACAGACACTGAAAGGACAGGAAGAAGATGGTAACAGAAGAGACAGTGAGAAAAGGCAGTGACTTGAATTATAAAATTAATTTTATTATATTTTACTTTTCCATGGTAAGAAAGCTTTAGATGAGATCGACCCTCTTAATGCATATTTATACATTATTGTTGACCTTGGCATGATATTGTAGGCAGATCCCTAGAGCTTATACATCTTGCTTAATAGAAATGGTGCCCTTGGTTAGTAACCTCACCTTTCCCTCTCCCCTGGCCCTGGCAATCACTCTTTGATTTTACAAGTTTGATTCTTAGACACCTCGTGTAAGCAGAATCATGTGTATTTGCTTTTCTATGGCTCCTTTATTTCACTTAGCCTTAGTAAGGCCCTCAAGGTCATGTTGCAACGCATTGTGGAATTTTCTTCCTTTTGGAGGCTGGACAGTATTCCATAGTACGTATATACTATCTTTTATTTATCCACTCATCTGCTGATGAACATTAGGGTTGTATCCACCCTTTGGCCATACTGAATAATGTTATGAACATGAGGGTATAATGGCTGTTTGTGATTCTGATTTCAATTCTTTTGGAATATTTCTAGATTGGATGGGTGATACTATTTTAAACTTTTTGAGGCACCTCCAGAGTGTTTTCTTTAGTGGCTGTCCCACTGCATCCTCACCAATACTCACTGT